CAGCTTGCATGTTTGGGTAATTACAACCACCCATCTCAACTATGAATCTTCCTACACATCCACCTCTTATGGTTTCAAATTTAACATAATTTTCTAGATTTCGTGGAATGTTCTCTAGAGGTATACTCGTTTTGTGCAGAAATGCAGTTTTTGATGCAACACGATCTGATATTTACAAGTCAATAGGCTCATTTTATGATCATCTTGTTTCAACATGTGGAGCTCGAATCGGTACAAACTGAAGAATATTTCGCATAATCAAGAAAATTCTACTAAATTTGACACCGTATGATCGTAAGAATGAAAGTGTAAGAAGATTCAAAGTTGAGGGCTGGCTGTAATTATTCAAACATAAATGGATTTTTCTTAATTTGACCTTCCCTCAAAAAGATTACCGTGATTTACCCTATGATGTTGTAGTATTTTAATCTTTAATTTATACATAATTATACACATAATCATGGATGTGCAGACGTGTATCTATACATTTATATAGTAGAGTATTAAAATATAATTCGATAAAGTTCATCGGTAACACATAAAATGATCAATAAGAGTTAAAAGGGTAGTATGGGGTTGTCTAGGGTCCGAGAGGGTTGTACTTCTCGGACCGTAAAATATTTAATCCAGTGCGTTCAAAATAATTAAATTTTAATCTCGTCCATTGATTTTATGTACGACCCAGTACGACCTAGTACGATACATGAAATTTAAAAATAAAAGTACGAGCCTAGTAAAAACACATCGTACACATTCGTACACACATTGTACTATTCATAAATTACTTAATTAACCTTATAAACTCAAATCTATAAATTAAAATCTTTCATTAAAAAATTGCACAGTAATCAAAATCAATTAACACAATTACACGCCAAATAAAATCAAAACCTCCAAATGTTCTTCCCCAAAATCAAAATATATGCCGATCGAGATTAAGAAGAGAAGCCCTAGTTTTTCAGCGCTACTTTAACGAAGAGAACCAAGAAAGTTGAAATCGTTGGGAAATATGGTAAGTGTTCATCGTCTCGTCGCCTCTCTCAATCTTCTCCGATGGCCAATAAACTGGTTTGGATGGGTGGAGGATATATGAACTTCTATGGTTATTCAATGTGCCTCAGGATTCATAAGCTATTAAGGAGAGATATACATTTATATTTCGTTCGTTTTTATTGTGAATTACAGTTGGTCTCTTCAAATCAATACCAGAGAAATCGAAGACTGCCACTTAAAAGGTATCACTGAAATTCTTGTTAAATATTTATTTCTTTTGTTTTTTCCGCATTATCTTGCTCTGTCTAATATTCCAGGTGACGAGTTTTCTGTTTTTTGGATTTTTTTTAAATGATAGAGCTGCAAAATTCGTTGTCGTGTTAATATCTAGTTTCTTCGTGAAATTCTATTAGATACAGTGAATTAATTGAACTCTAAAAGGGTAAATATTAATTAAAAAATGATTCACAACTCTAAATAGGTGGGTTTTTTTTTTTCTTTTCGTGTTGATAAAAAAATGAGTTTGTTTCACAGTTTTAGGCTTCTGATTATTTATGCTCGATAAGTTGTGAATTCCGTGAATGATTTAGTGGGTGCTCTGATCAGAAAATAGTGAAATTGGTGGATTGAACGACTTTTATGAGTGCTAGTAACAACAAAATTCAGGCTTTTCCTCTCGATGTTAAAGTTCACATATTCCAGTTGAACAGTGAAATTCTACTAAAGAGTGTATGCTCCTTGACAGATTATTATATGAAACCTTTCAGGACGTCTATTTGATATCAGACTTTAGTTGTAGAATCCATGAATGATGTTTTAGGGGGCAATAAGATTTATCTCTAATTCTAGAGCACATTTTGCTAATATATCCTTTTGTATTTCAAGAGTGCAGGATTCAGATTGAAGAATCACAGTGATATTACATAGTGTGGGGTCTGGTTTAGAACAGAGCAAAATAAGTAGTTCTTTCATTCATTGATGAAGCTTATTCTTATTATTAAAACTTTTGAATAGAAAATCGTAACATAAGGTGATAATGTAGCAGCAAACACGTTCTCGATGACAATCATCAAAGGAGAAAGGTATGGCTGCTTTCACCTTTTCACGAACGAAGCCAAATTACTTGTAAATTGATTCAAAACGAGAGCTAACGATTTGAATTTCATTTCAAAGTGAATTCCATCCAAACAAGCTGAATGTGTTTGTTATTGTGATCTCGTAATAATTAACTTCAAATCTTTTCTTATCAAAATGAAATTCATATGTAATCTTTGCATCAATTATGTTATTTTCTATTATCAATTGTACATGCACTTGATGTCTTCGACTGAGCTACGAGATTATGTGTTGCAGATTTGAATATATAATCTTTGCATCGGTTTGCTTGGCCGAGATAAGAAGTGTTGTGCACGGTGACGAACTGATGATGTAGTGCTCATATCCTTGGAGGACAACTATTCTTGAGTTATGAGCTCTGCTATAGCTTGTAATTTTGGAACCAGAAATTTAAGAATTTTCATGCATTTCTTTTGGATACTGTACTCCCTTGTAGTGGAAGTTTTGGATTCATATCTATATTATTTCATTGATTCGTCGAAAACAGTTAATTATAATATAATAGATCTTTTCTGGTTTTGGCTCTTTTTTGTAATGATTGTAACGACCATTTGTTGCTATTCAGAGGCTACTGTTCTGATGGCAACATGGTATTTTTGTTCTTGTGCATGATGTGTATCTCTCATATTTTTCTAAAAATATGCAGTTTTTTGTTTGTACCATGAACTTCTTTGGTTAAATTAATTTTAAAAGTATTATTGGGTGATGGAGAAATAAAAAACACTATAACCTGTTGAGACCAGACTACAACACATCCCCCGGATGGAGAGATGGCCGATGGGGGGTGTTGCTGGAACACACCAGCAACTTTTTATGTATATAAATTGTTTACAGTTTAAATTAAGCTCACACTTCAGATGCGCACTAGCCGACTAATCTTAAACCTTAGAGAAATTGGTCCTATCTCGGAGTTGTAGAAACAAATTGACGATAAATGAAAATTTGATGAGTTTGTTTAACTTATTTGTATTATTATGCATCTCTACAATTTACCAGCAACAAGTTATTTGATTATTAATGACCAATAAAGTGTTTTAGGTTTGATTAACCTATATGCCTGCAATAATTTGATTAATAACTTTTTGTTGATGATACCTCTTGCTTGGCAGATAATTCGGAACAATGTGATTCAAATGTGAAATTTCAACCAAAATGAAAGCTGGATTTTAGTGGTAGTAGCATATGATATTTTTGTCCACAATTTACTTGGATAAGAACCATATTTGCCTTTCACTCCGAACTTCAGAATAATCAAAACTATGCAGAGCATTAAGAAAGTAAGAAAGTAAAACAAAACTATTAACAAAGCCATAGCATGAAAAAATGTTTTTGCACATGAAAGAAACATTCAGCCTACATATCAATAGCAGCAAAATGTTTTCATTTGTTATTATTATTGTCACATTATTCTAATACTCAT